ATGACTACACAGTAGAAGTGAGAAATAGATTGAAGGGACTAGGTCTGATAGACAGAGTGCCTGACTAACTATGGACGGAGGTTCGTAACATTGTACAGGAGACAGGGATCAAGACTATCCCCAAGAAAAAGAAATGCAAAAAAGCAAAATTGCTGTCTGAGGAGGCCTTACAAATAGCTATGAAAAGAGAAGCGAAAAGCAGAGAAAAGGAAAGATATACCCATTTGAATGCAGAGTTCCAAAGAACAGTAAGGAGAGATAAGAAAGCCTTCCTCAGTGATCAGTGCAAAGAAATAGAGGAAAGCAAAAGAATGGGAAAGATTAGAGATCTCTTCAAGAAAATTAGAGATGCCAAGGGAACATTTCATGCAAAGATGGGCTCAATAATGGACAGAAATGGTATGGACCTAACAGAAGCAGGAGATATTAAGAAGAGGTGGCAAGAATACACAGAACTACACAAAAAAGATCTTCACGACCCAGATAATCATGATGGTGTGATCACTCACCTAGAGCCNATGCAGATGATACCACCCTTAAGGCAGAAAGCGAAGAGGAACTAAAGAGCTTCTTGATGAGATGAAAGAGGAGAGTAAGAAAGCTGGCTTAAAATTCAACATTCAAAAAGCTAAGATCATGGCATCTAGTCCTACCACTTCATGCCAAATAGATGGGAAACAGTGGAAACAGTGACAGAGTTTATTTTGGGGGGTTCCAAAATCACTGCAAATGGTGACTGCAGTCCTGAAATTAAAAGATGCTTGCTCCTTGGAAGAAAACCTATGACAGACCTAGACAGCATGTTAAAAAGCAGAGACATTACTTTGCCAACAAAGATCTGTATAGTAAAAGCTATGGTTTTTCCAGTAGTCATGTGTGAATCTGAGAGTTGGATTGTAAAGAACTCTGAGCACCAAAAGTCTGATGCTTTTGAACTGTGGTTTTGGAGAAGACTCTTGGGAGTCCCTTGGACTGCAAGAAGATCCAACCAGTCCATCCTAAGGGAGATCAGTCCTGGGTGTTCATTGGTAGGACTGATGAAGCTGAAACTCCAATACTTTGGCCACCTGACGCAAAGAGCTGACTCACTGGAGAAGACTCTGATGTTAGGAAAGATTGAGAGCAGGAGAAGGGGATGACAGAGGATGAGATAGTTGGATGGTATCACCCACCCAATGGACACAGGTTTGGATGGACTCCGGGAGTTGGTGATGGACAGGGAAGCCCAGCGTGCTGCGGTTCATGCGGCTGCAAAGAGTCGGACATGACCCAGTGACTGAACTGAACTGATGCTGAAGCTCCAATACTTTGGCCACGTGATGCAAAGAACTGGCTCATAGGAAAAGACTGATGCTGGGAAAAACTGAGAGCAGGAGAAGGGGATGACAGAGGATGAGATGGTTGGATGGCATTATCCACTCAATGGAGATGAATTTGAATAAACTCCGAGAGTTGGTGATGGACAGGAAGGCCTGGTGTGCTGTGCTCCATGGGGTCACGAAGAGTCGGACACGACTGAGCAACTGAACTGAACTGAATTCCTGAACAGCCTTGGTGCATAACTGCTGAGTTCAGATATGTACAATTTCAGGTTCTGCGGTGATTGTTTCAATCAAATCTGTCAGCAAAAAACATATTCAAAACAGATTGTTAACCAACTAGACAGTAACATGTAACTTCTGTCATCTTGCTGTTTACTTAAGTATCACATGTAAAGTACAATCACAAGTCAGTACCTATCCCAGAAAGGAAAGAGCACTTAGTTGTAGACAAAATGGAGTCTTACATTTATGCCACAAAATGGTTTAACTTTTACTTCTAGGACTAGAACAGAATTGCACCCTAGGGAAAAACACAAAACAATGCTCTTTGGTTTATATGAATTAAAAACCAGAGTTTGTGTGTGAAAATAGTAATAAGCATTAAATGGCACTTGTTGTATATGCACATTTGCTTTAAAGCAGACTGTACAAACATAAGAAACTGTTTCATCAAATTTCAAATTACTTTTTGTTAACACACTGCTTCCCCCATGGAAATCTTTCTATGTAGTTTAAGGCTATATAATCTTACTGCTAATCAATCAGAAACCACACCCATCATTCCCTCTAAAATTGTAAGCTAAATTTATGAACAAAATTCACAGTAATTTTGCATTCAAATATTTAAGCAAATGAGAGTCAAATTAAGTCTCTGTACACAAACATTTATATGACATGGAGATAAACGTTCCAAGTTATGACAGTTACCTAAAACTATCTTTGGAATGGGGCACATGCAACAAGATGAAAGATGCTCTGCTTCTCAATGTGTATCAATGAATTCATTTTCAAACCCTGTGAATATATTACCAATTCAAAAAAATACAATCATAACAGTAATATGCTTAATATGCTGCTATATTACTTAGTAGACTTTTGCCCACTCTTTGTAGCAAATAACTTGATTTAACACAACTGAAAAGAATGATTCTAATCATTTAAAACTGAAAGTTACAGATCTTTACCTTTTCATTATACAACTTAATGTAACCAATACTGTTATCAAAAATTTCTTTCCAAGTTCTAGAAATCATTACACTAGAATATTAAAATTAATAACCCAAGAACAAACTACAGATTGAAAGACACTTGCAGGACACATCTGACAAAGAATTGTTATCCAAGATACAGAAAGAACTCTCAAAAAACTCAGTAGGAAAACAAATGATAAAAATGGGCCAAAGACCTTATTAGACACCGCATTAAAGAAGATATAAAACAAATCACAAATTAATTCTAAAGATTCATCACATTACCATGATGAGATTTAATTGCATGCCTATTTGAACAGCCAAAACGCAGAACACTGATATAAAATGCTAAAGATGTGAAATAGAAACTCTTTCAATGCTGTAGGAATGCAAAATTGTACAACCATTTGGAAGAGTTTGATGATTTCTCTTTATATTCTTACATTATTACCTACCCAAGAATGAAAACCTAATCCCACACAAATCTGCTCACTAATGTTTGTAACCACTTTATTCCTAACTGCCCAAACTTGCAAGCAACCAAGATATCCTTCAACAGGTGTATGGAATAAACAGTGGCATGTCCAGAAAATGGATTATTCAAGACTAAAAAAAAATGAGCTGTCAAGCCATGAAAAGGCATGAAGAAAACTCAAGTGATTACTAAGTGTAAGAAGCCAATCTGAAATGGTTGCATATGTACTATACAATTCCACATATAACATTTGGAAAAGGAAAAATTATAGCAGCATTAAAAAGGTCAGTAGCTTTCAGGGGTTCAGTGAAAATACTCTGTATATTATGATGAATTTGTCACTATAGATTTGTCCAAACTCATGGAAAACACCAATGGTTAACTATAATTTATGGACTTTGGGTGATTATGATGTTAATACAGGTTCATCAACTCAAACAAAATGTTATCACTCTAGTGGTTGATGTTGGTAATAGAGCTATGTATGTGGTGTGGGTGAAGAGGGTGCATGGGAAATCTCTGCACTTCTCTCTCAACTTTGCTGTAAACCTAAAATTAAGTCCTTAAAAAACTAATAGGGAACGTTAAGTGCCAGGTATTTTTATCCTTCCAGATGAAGAAGCCTGGTTTTAAGAGTCCATTATCTTAACTAGTAAGTCATTTCACTTATATTGCAGTTTTTTCCTTTGCAGTTTCATGCTGTGGAAAAACCACTTCTGCTCAAACCATAGGCCCTAGTTTTGCAGATAAAGCCCACTGAAAAATAGATATGATAAAGGGACTATCCTTAGGCCATATATAGGTAATTCATATCATCACTGTCAAAACATGTATGGGGTGGGGACGTACAGAGTGCAAGGAGAAATGTGATATTAGTCTTGAAATGCTTTATATTAGTGTACATTTCAAAGTTAAAGCCCATTTATATATCTTGCCTGAGAAACTTTCAGGTTTGAATACAGGAGTCCTGGTACAATTGAATCTTCCTAGTTGCTTTACACACTTTGATCCCTTCTCCCCAACTGATGATCCTGACAAATCAAATCCTTAAGTCAGATTATGTTCTAAATTAATATTTCTCACAAGAAATGATTATGGAAACATTACCGTAATCTCATGCTACTTATTTCAAAGACCATTACAGACAAGTGAAGCCCAAGGGTTCATCATCTTTCCATCTAAGTCTTCTTAGCCCCCAGTAAACTCCTCTTGGATTTCAAAACTTGAAGATTTAAAAACTTAACAAGCAAATGTTTACAGAGGTAGCATTGGAGGAAAACAAAGTCTTAAACTTTGAATAAATAGTTTGCCTTCAAACACCACAATTTTTAGCTCAACTGTGATTCAGTATCCTTCATAATTTAAGACATATCCTTATCTCATACTTCAATAGTATACATAGCCCCTCAGCTGAAGTAAAAGTAGCAGCAAAGAACTGGGACAGTTGGTAGCAAATCATCATGGTAAGTACTGAACATTTCCATTTCCAACTCCATCATTGAGATGTAATGGTTCTGCTTTTTGGCTTCAGCTATTGCATTGGCCAAGTCAACATGCCACTGTTAGCTCCTGTTCTTTATTATCTCACATGACACCTGCAAAGACTAAGCCCACGGGACCATCTCAACATTAGAATCAAACCCCAAATAAAACTCTGCCAGTTGCTGTAAACCAATTGTAATGCCTAAGGTGCCATTTATAAAGCAAAAGAGAAAAAGAGAAAAGGGAGATAGGATGGAGTAACTGACCTAAATTCTTCTAACACTGTTTTGAGCCTAAAAGTGCCTATTCGTGTCTTCAAAATTAAACTGCCTATTATGTTCCATACAAGATGTTTAACACTCATCTCATGGTTCTCACGTGAATGTTTAGGGATGGAAATGAAAAAAAAAAAATTATAACATAGCCATGCAAAGTCTATAAACACGACTAAATTCAATATCAAACATTTCCTAATTATCCCCCTTTAGGATATCTAACTATGGCTTAAAAACCCAATAAACAAGTGGAAAGTCTCCCTCTGTACATGGCTTTTATTATTTACATAATACAATATAGCATCAATGCTGAATAGCATGATTATGTGCAATACATAAATATGGACTATCTGTACACATCTGCAGATCTAACTTTAGAACTAAGGTACATAAACTTGAAAGCAAAATTGAGTGCTTTAAGAATAAAAGTAAAAACTAAGACTGAACACTGCAATAAATCAGAAGTAGTGCCTCGTGTACATACTTAACTATTTACAGATGAAAACAGGCATTACCACGACACTAATCTAACTGTACTCATTTATATATAAAAAACACAAGTTTCATACATCACGGAAAACCTTCCATTATAACACAGAAGTGATATTACCAGACAAGCATCAGTGAAGTATACTGCCTCTTCTAGTTGTTATTGTACAATGCTGTAGATAATGCAGCCCATGCAATACACCCAAGAACACTAGAGTCCTACACCCAAGTACAATTAATATAAAGCAGCCCTCTGCAAGTGGTGCTGGATACCACTAAGAAGTCTACTGCAGCCATGTTGGTTATGATTTTCCATGCAGAAGGGTACAGTTACATTAAGAACTGAAGTCTTTAAAAAAGCTTTAAACATTCTTTCTTGAACCAAAACATTCAACAAAATATGCACATGAAAAATTAACTATTCAGATACCTTTGCAACTTAAAATTCAGATGCATGTTACTCCATAGAGCTGCTGTATGTGAAAACCAAACGTAGAGTTTTAATTTCTTCTTGTAAATAAATTAATCCTAGTGCAGTTCTGTGCTACACAACATTTTTAGCAATGATAGAGTAATGCAGACGTCGTCTGGTGCAGGCCAGCATAATAAGCTTCAAAGATAGCTCAAGACCCTGTTGGCTTGATGCGTTTTACTCTTTAGCCAGTTAAACAATGTGTACCTTTCACAGGATGTCTTATTTGACAGTTTTTAGAACACCAATTAACCAGGCTTACATATGGCACCAAACACTGGTTTCATGGAAAGGTCTGATTCTTTTTATAGCTTTCTTCCTGCTTCCAAAGAACATGTGGAAATTAACAGGGTGAAGTTTAACTATGGTAGAAGTAGACTGCCAGTCCTTTTCTGGTGTACCATTTCTTTAAAAAAATACAGGCACATAACACTAGCCAAAGATTATACCTTGATTACATTCCCAAAGGCAGATATGCTGCAAACATGCAGATAGGTATTTCACTTATTTTGTTTGGCACAAAGGAACTAAATTTTGTCCTTATTATCTGTGTATTTCAATTTGCTGTGCAGATTTTCATCCAATTTTATTCAGGGGAGGGCATATACATTTTGTAGGGCTGTATCTATCCAATTCTGCCTGTAACGAACACCCAAACATCCTAAAATATCAATTATAAGACAGACAAGTGTAAAGTAAAACTCTGGAGAACATCAAAGGAAAATGGCCATGCATCTGCTCTTTAATGTTTTCCTACGGTATATTAAAATAAAAACAAATTATCAGTCTCTTCACAAGTAGTAATTTATATTCTCTGAATTTTTTCAGCCACAACAACTGGATTCTCTTTTCTGATTTTTGCTGCAGCTTCTGCTTTGTAATCATATGGACAGTTGTGCTTGTCAGAGTAACGGTGAAGTCCACAAAATAAATTTCCACATCGGCAGTCAAACCCTGTACATATAAAAGGAAGCAGAGTCATTTAGGAACTCGCAGCAACTAGAAGAGACAAAGCATAAGTCAATACAGAAATGGAACCAGATTTCCATGCCCGTCACATTGAACCAACTGTCATTTTAAATTGTGAAAGTGTTCTCAAGCTCTGCTGACCCGGTGAGAAACTCAAGTAACCATCTTCCATGAAATCTGGCAGATATCAAACAGGGTAGAAAAATCACAAAGCTCTGGAGTCTGAACTGGATTTAAGTTCTAGTCCTGCTGTATACTGACTGACTAATAATGTTTCTGCACGTGAAAACTAGAAGACAACCACGGACAGTTCTGAGATTTAAACGAAACAATTAAAAAGTATTTAGAACATTTTGTGTCTGGCTCAAAGTAGGTGATTACTATTTAATTCAACTACCTTTCCCTCAGAAGAACAAAGGAAAGAATCAAGAGATGAAGTTTTACTAGTCCTATAAAGGAAAATAATTCAAAAGGCCTGAAGTCAGGAAAGGGTTTCATATGATTAGAGAGACTAATGGAAAGCAAACTCAACTTCTTCTCACTGTCCCCTTTCCAGTCTGTTGTGCAAATTTCCTATTCTTGAAAGTTGGGTGTTTTATGTTTAAGACTGACTAGTGCCATAGGGAGTAACCAAGAGCTCTTGAATACCTGTGAGGCCAACTTTCTTTCTGCACATGAAACACCTGTTCTTCTTTGGTTTGGGCAACTCAGGAGCTTTTTCTTCACTTTGAGAAGTACTGGGCTGAGAAACTGAAGGACTGGGCTGAGTGACAACTGAAAAAACAAGGGTAAAAATTAGAAGTTTGTCAACTGTTTGGCTGACAATTATCTAACTCAAAACCAAAACAACAGTAAGACTCTTCATGAAAATGTTTAAAACCTTCTTGAAAGCAAACGTATTATTTTAAATACAATCTTCTACTTTATTATCACTCCACTAAAATTCCATTAAACTCACTCTAGGACTGGGAAACAAAATCCTAATTCTAGGTTTTAAAGACCTGAGAGATGTGGTCATCTGCTTAGTTTCCACACTGCAAATACCTAAATGCAATCTTCTTAATTAGTACAGCTCAAATCCATTACTACTCAGTAAATAAGGATGCCAACTTCTGAGGTACATAGCTATAAAGTCGTTTTGTTTTTATACTGAAAAGTGAGAAGAAAAACTGTAGATAAACCCAGTAAAATTTGACAAGTAAAACCCAAACCATTAACCTCTAACTCAGACTCTCAAATTTCACAATTATTTTATCATTTTAAAAAGTGCTTTATTTTGTCTTATGCAGAAAACGTGCAAGCCTTTTTAAAAAAACAAGAAAAAAAAATCTTTCTTTTGAAGATTAGCAAACACTGTGTTTAGGACAATATAAATACTTGTGAAGCTTAAGGATTCCATAGGCAAAACAAGAATTCTTACTTTAATTTTTAATTAAATTCTTTAATTTACTTTGTGATACTTAATGAGAGATATGACCTATTTTTTTAAGCTCACTCATGACATCAACAGAATTTGTCAATATAAAGATAAAACTGCAGATAACTGTGAGTTCACATTACCTCCAGGTTATTTAAAACAAAATTTAATTCTACCTTTATAAAATTAATATTAATCCAAATCCCAAGAACAGCAAATTGATGCACACAATACTAGAATTACTGCCTGAACAATAGGCCAGCATTAATGCTATCAGCATAAATCCAAACTCTACGGCAAACCAACTGGTTTTAATAACAACTTACTGAAATTCTCACCAAATTCAGAATTCATTTACATTAGTGATATATCCAGTGAGATTAACAGTATAATATTAGACCACTGGTAATATCCTACCTATTACTTATTCCTAAAAATCTACCATGGCAACCTTAATGTATTTTCATGATGGTATAATGGCAAAGAACAGTCTGTAGAATAGTCTAGGGGAGGTGATAGCCATTTCCCTGGCTACACCTGAAAACTGGACAGTGGTTATGAAAACATACACAAGACTTTGGTGGGGGGTGGGGGTGGGGATGCGAGTAGTTAAGAAAGGAAAAATGATATAGGAAAGGCAAAGCAGCAAAGTGCATTCAGGTGAAGAACTAATAAATGTACAGAAATAGTTACAGATCTAATCCGAGAGAGTACTGTTCTAAGATTTTGTTTTTTAAAAAACAGAAACAAATGAAACGGAATAACACTAATTTGATCAGTTTTTCATCATAAGGATGGAACTTTAAATACCAAATATGGATTCAACCACCCAACATAAAAATTTTCACCTTAGCCTTATCAATCAAGACATATACAGTTCACATAAGCTTGGCTATGTAATATTAGCAAAAGCAAGCTTTCAAAGCAGATTACATATCCGATGCTATTTTCTCACTAAAGGTTTTAACATCGTGTCCCAGTCGACACTTATACCAGGAAATAACGAATTGATCAAATCAACTATGTGCACCATAGAGTATGCAAATCACCGTTCCAGGGTCTAGCAATGAAAAGTAAAAAGTCAACCTTCTGATAACAGAGCACGACTGGAAGTGCTTTAATGTTAAGTTCAGCATAGACTCAGTCACTAATGAAAACCAAAATGCCATTCCACACTGAGTTTAAACTCCCAGAGGGACCCCACACTTCAACTTGAAAAGTTTGTGTTTGATATGTTCTTTTGTTTGAGTATTTCCTAAAGTATTGACAATATCCAAGACTAAAGAGTTAACACTTTTGATTATTTTTTCTCCATAGCTTTGCAACTCGACTTTAGTAATTTCTTCTGTTTATGAACAATACCTTCTTTAATGTTTAGATACTTTTAAAATGTAGTGGTAACGTACCTTTTAAATTCATTAAATTCTTGACATTTCCAGCCTTCACATTAAAAAGTTTGCTGATTTGTAGGTGCAGAGGTAATGGGGGATGGGCAGAGAAGAGATGAAAGAATCAGATAAAAAGCATACCTGGCTCTGACACCTCTGTTTTCGGGGGAGTTACTTTGTCCTCTCTTGAAATGCTCATTTCTGTCATTTGCTGAGTTACAGGCAAGGCAGCCACAGGCACATTTCTATTTGAGTTCAAGCAAACATTTTTAAAGATGTTAAGGGTACTTCTTGGTGAGATAGGTAAGTTGTCAGTTCAAAATATATATATATTATTTCTAGCATGATCAAATGGAGCTACTCTAAAAAGGATGCACAGCACAAATGTCTGAGAATAAGGAGGGCAATCTGATAAATGGCTCATCAATTCAAGCCTGCATATTTGTATAGGTTACAGTGTTCTATCAGAGCCAACTAGAAATATTTAGCTGTGCCTGTAATTTAAGGGCAAAAGGGACAGCTTTGCCAGAATGCCTTATATAGCAGCACAATAATCTGTAGAGCCTCATTCTCTATAATCTTCACACCTCAATTCCAAGAAAAAGCACAGCATTCTCAACACAGTATCCTCCAGGCTATTCAGCAGCTGTGCATTATTATACACATCTTTACTCAATGACCTACAAGATCATATATTAAAGGACACTGGAATCCCCAACTGTGCAACACATGCAGGAATCTAATGTATTAACATCCTTATTATAAAGTAATATATATGATGTAACACAACATTCTTATTATTTATTAACATTCATAATTAGGTCATCTTTATTTCCTCCCTGCATTATACTCAGAAATGTTTAATCTTACCTTGATTTTTCAGATGTGCTGCCAGCAGCACCTTCACAGTTGTTTAAACTAGCATCTGCTCTTTGTACAGATGCAGAATCTGAGGTAGGACTGTTGGAACCACTAGCTGTCCCTATTTAAAAAAAGGATTGGTAAGAAATGAAGCAACACTACAAACACTCATTATCAAAACTATTAATAAGTAACAAATACTTGCATTTAATTAGGTTAGTGACTTAAACACTTTTCCACTTTGCCGCAGAATCTGACATTTAAGTGATATCCCAACAACAAAAAAAATAAGTAAAAAAGTCATAGCCAATAAAACCTCAAAAAGGGAAAAGAAAAAGCCAGAAGATGCTTGTAGATGTCACCCATTCCTCATGCAGTCATTTCAAGTACTTGGTTGCTGTTTTAAGTTTCAAGCTTTTCTCAGGTCTTCTCTCCTTTCAGCACTGATTCTCAGTCTGAGGCCCCAATTCTTTGTTGTATATTTTGCGGCCACCAGTTCTTCAAATGCGATATTTCTTGAAAACAACTTACCCATTGGGCTCATTCTGCCACTATTCTGCTGCCTCTGAAGATGTTCTTTGTAGCAAACAGAACACATTCCATTTGTCCTAGGATTCCCATAAAAGCCACATCCTGTACTACACAGCATGGGCCCTGGGGTCTGGTTAGTCTCCTGAGCCATTTTTCTGCTATAAACAGAACAAAATAAAAATTTTAGAAACCAGAATTTAGTAAAAGAAAAAAAAGAAAACAAAAAACAAAACCACACAATCACTAAATTAGTACGATAGTCATCACTTATCTTTGTCATCTCTAAACACTGCATTTGTTTCTAACAAAGGCCTAAATTGTGTTATTAATCTTTAAAATAGGCTAAATTATGAATGTTTTGTTGCCTTTATAAAACAAAATACATGAAAGGAACTGTTTTAGCTTGATAAACTGATCTATCATGACTTGACATTTTTAGGACAAAAAAATTCTATCATTAAACATTAAAATTTCACCTGTCACTGTTTAATTCCTGAAAAGGTCACCCTTCCATTGTTTAATTCTTTAAACACAGAATTATGTTTAAATCAATTTTTCTAACTGGTATCTTTAAATCACTTTTTGTTCTACACTATAGGCAAATCATTTCAAATCATCATAATTAACTACTGACTCTTCATATCTACTAGTGGTTCTTTAAGCTAGTAGTGTATGCGATGCAGCTCTAAAGGTTTCCTACACCACCTGAACATATTGGGTCCTTTAATTAATTCAATTCTGCTGTAGGGCAGAGCATAGGTACTTTTAAAATGCTTCAACTCCTTTATAGGACACTGAAAAGAGAGCTGGTAGATCATCTAGCTCTTCCTATTACCCTGGCACCAAAAAGTGAAGCTCTTTAAGAATTCAGGGGTCAGCTGCCTAGGAAATTTCTTTTGTTCTACATTTGACATGTGAAATCTGGGTCTAAGTATACTTTAAAGCCAGTGCCTAGAAACCTGCAAAGCACAAATTATCAGCCACAGATTTCTCAACCAACAGCTCTATTAAAACTTGTAACAAGCGTTTGTCTTCCTCATGCCAGAAAATAATGAACCCTTTCAAGCTCAATTTCAAGATAGCAAAGTAAAGCAATATACACAATCTTTAATAATGGTTAATATTTAATGCTAGGTTACCAGAAACAACTTAATGCAACCTTGCTATTCCAGAAGCCTTCTTAAAATACAAATACAGTAATGTTTTGCTAAATTTAGTAAAATTTGCTGAGTTAACAGAACATAAATATTTAAGAAAAAAAATTAAAAACCTGCAAGGTTTCCATGTCACCTTAAATTATGTATTAATGTACAGAAAGCATATTTGGGCATTTTATCAAAGGGAGACTGTGTCTAATAATTCTGGTCATTGTCATTTAACTACCTAAATGTTGATAATAGAGGTGACTTACAAGTTATGAACATTTCAGGTACATATAGCAAAGTACTTTCAGTTAGAGCTTGTTACTTCCTAAAATTTCATGTTGTTTTTTCCAACCAGCACAAACTAGGATACACTCTTCAGGGAGTTATCATGAAGTGTGAACAAGTATTAACACTTTTAACCAAACTTATACAAAGGAAGAGGACTAACCAAATTTGATGTGGCCTGAATCCTGACAATTATTCCCCCAACCATTTAAATGATAGTAATCTTTCCTTCTGTTAGCAAAAAGACATATTTCAAGCTTGAAAATATTTCAAGCCAATGAAGCTTGCATGGAACTTGACCAATATTTGCAACTTACTTCAGACAACAGTACTAATTTAGTTAACACTATCTCTTTAAATAGTAAGTGGAATTTAGCTGACTCATTTTGGAGCAGGGCAGTGTAAACATTTCAACACTGCTTAGGAAATTTATTGATAAACACTTTCAGCTGAGTTTTTAAGATTCTGAGTATAATGTACAGAAAAAAAATGCATTATGCATTTATTTGCACGCCCACCACGCAAAATATGTGAATCTTTGCCCTATGCAAAAAAAAAAAAAAAAAAAAAAGCCACTCCTGGAAGTCCTAACAATTATGCTTAGCTTACCTTCTATATTAACTTCTGCTATCATCTGAGACTGGCTTAAACAGTAAACTGGCATAAAAGTCAACTTACATTAATAGTAATCTGATTCTTAAAATCTTTTGTTTATATAAATGCGGGTGGGAATCTTATCCAATAATTTCATATGCAAAGTATTCCAACTTTCTTCAGAAAACACATCTACCTTCAATTTACCATAAATAGCCTCCAAACTGAGACACAGGAGACAACAGGACATTAGTCTTATACATGGTGCCTCATCTTTTCTCCCCCTAGAAAGGCAGCTTTTAAATGCCATCACAAGTGCAGTTTGCCTTAATATTTCTCAGAAGCTTAGATCACATGGGCGGGCGCTTCAGCCTGTCACAAGGCTGCAATGTGACAGGCTGAGCGGGATGGAGGCTCTCACATAAAGCCTAGTCAACAGGGGCCTCTGAAATCAGCTTCTATTTATATCTCAGAGCCTGCCAACTCCTACACAACCCCAAGAACTAAAGATGCAGCACTTGTATATCTAATATAATAAGCGAACACAACAAAAAGATGCCATTAAGGTTGTTAGTTTTTTCCGAGGTAGGTAAGGAGAACAATCGCAAATCAGAAATGGAAGTATCACCAATCACTCAGACAAAATGGTCAGAGTTGTTTATAAAAATCCAAGCACAAGGAAGAGAGCAGCAAGGTAGAAACAACCCTCCTGTTTAGCAGCAATTTTGAGGTGGGTGTGGGGAATAAATTGCCATTTCCCTATTTGTATTTTAGAAAAAAATACAATACCATTATTACTTAGCATCTTTAATAAAGTTGTTAGGAACTTGAGCATTCATTGTGTCAGCTCTATCAAATATAGGATGAAATGTGTGTGTGTACGTGTGTGTATACTTCACAGTTTGCGGCCTCCTCTAATTCATAGCTAAAAAACAAAACCCCCCAAAAGACTGGAGCATGTAACTGAAAAATTCTCCAGCCTCAAACATGAATAAAAAAGGCTTTTACAACTATGAAATTTAGTTCTCTCAGGTGCACAAGACGTTAAGAATGCTCACCCTACCCGGAGTTGAGACTGGAGTTCTAGTCTCTAATCTACCTCTAACTAAGCCAGTGACCTTGGACAAGCCCTTACTCTCCAGATCTTCGTTGCCTCCTGCCAAATGGAGAAGATTACTGTGATTTTAAAGGCTCCTTTTCAGGCTTAATACAGAGCCTGAGAGAGAGAGTTTAAGATTAAAACACCTCTCGAGGGGGATATTTTTAGAAGAAAACTTGAAAAATAAAATTTCAGTATTTTCACCAATTCAGTTTTGAGTCCCTACTTTAAAAATAAGGAGTAAAATAAAGATTCCTTTAATCTTTTAATAAAGTCTGAAAATGACCCAAGGCCAAGTTTAAGAACAGCGGCTCTATGACCTATATACTACTACTGTGTTCTTAGACCAGATTAATAGGAAACATTCAGTCAACAAAGATAACCCAGGCCTTTTCCCAAAACACAGCTCCACGGAGTGCGTGGAAAGAAAGCAAAAAATTTCACGTTCATCAGCCTAAATGCAAGAAACAAAGGGGAAGGTGCTCCATTTCCTTCATGAAAGGCATCTCCGGCGAGAAACGCAGCAACCTCGATAAAACTGAAACACCACAGAGAAGTCCCCTATCGCCCAACGTTCCAGGGGATTTTAAAACAAGTTCGAATCCCACTGGTCCTCCACCCCTACTCCATGCCCTTCCAAGCAGAGGCCTATTCAGGAAAGCCCAACAGGGCCTTCTCCAAAAACCACTGAGTCATGCAGAACAGCAGTTCCGTAGGCCAAGCAGGCCCCTCACCCCTGCGGGTCCCTCGCCGACCCCCGACCCCCGACCCTGAAAGGCTCCTCGGAGGAGGCGGAGAAGGGGGGTGCGGCGGGCAAGGGGTTGGGGGCGCGGCCGCCGCCACCGCCTCTTTGTCTTTCCCGGTTCGGCGGCCCAGGCGGGACGCCACCGCGGAAGGCGGCCGGGACGGATGCGAACGAGGCCCGGAGCTCGAATCTCCCCGAGGCCGCACGCCGGGCATTGTTTCTCCGACCGTGCGTGTGCGAGCGAGTCCGGGGCACAGGGAACCGGCCTCCGGTCACGACGACAGGATGCCGCCTCCGTCTTTGTGCTTCCTGAGGGGGCAGGCGGGCTCCCCTCCCCCGACGCCGCCATCCGTGGGCCGCTCGGGCTTCGCAGGCTCGCGGCGCCTGGCCCCCAACTCCCACCCGCGGCCCGGCACGAGCAGCCGGGCGCCTTCCCCTAGCCCCGTACTACTCACTCTTCGACCGCGGGAGCCGGGCTCGCGCACGACGCCGGCGAGGTGGGGACCGGGCCGAGCCCTCCGGGCGGGGCGAGCCGGAAACCCTAGAGCCGCCGCCGCGGGCTGGAGCCGCAGGCGGAGGGGGCGCCGCCGCCGCCGCGGGGTTTTCCTTTGTTCCCGCAGCAGCCCCGAGCGTGGCCGGGACACGCCGGAGCCCGGGAAGTGGGGGGAGGGAAGCGGTGGGGGGAGCGGCGGAGGAGGAGGGGGCGGAGGGAGTAGTACAGAAGGCCGCAGGGGCTAAGGCTGCTCGCGGCGCTCGCCCGTCGTCGCCTCACACCTCCACCGGCCGCGGGTCTGGCTGACTCCGAGGACGAGCGGGGCACGCGCAGCTAAGCCCGGGGACCGCAAGGGCCCGCGAATGGCGCTCTCTGACCCTTCGCTACCGCCGGGGAAGCTGTGCAGCTCCCGGGAACGACGAGCTCCAAACGGTGATGCAGGCAGGTCCGCGCTCCGGCCGACTGACGCGTTCTCTCCGCCCCGCGATGGAAAGACGGAGGGGGCGGGGTCTGTGCGTCAGCGAAAACCCCGACGGCGGCGGCGGCGGGGAGCGCCTTGACGTCACGTGCCCGACGCCGCGCCTCCGCCTTCAGTCACCCGGCCGGGGAGGCGGGGCCAAGCCTGACTGCCCTGCTGTTGCGCGGAGCCTAGTTACTGGCCGGGCTGCCGGCCCGAGGGTGGAGCTGGAAAGAAATAGTCCTGTGGAGGATGCGTTTCTATTTTTAGCCCGATTGTCAGCCCTCAGCCTTTCTCCTTCCGATTTTCTCAGTCGAGCCTGCTATTCGCCCTTTGAGTTCTCACGCTTTGTCTAGAGTCTTTGGCAGACATTTCCCTTTCCTCCTTATTCTCCCTCCTCACCCACCCATCTAGAACGAGTTAGAAGGATTTGCTTCGAGAAAAGAAAATGAACCGCTGTTCGCTTCTGGGTCTTCTCGCCTGTTTATGAAGCTCCCAAGTCCAGTTCCCTCACACCCCTTTCGATTCTAAAGTCGAACCTGAGCACTGCCCTGCTGCTACCGGGAAGGCGCGGGGCAAGGCGGCGCTCGCTGGCTGCTCGCTCGCCCAAGGTCATGATGGGTGGTTGTGCAGAGTCAGGAAAGGCTCGCCGGACTGGCTGCCTGCCCTCGGCCCTGGCGTCACGGTTCTGAACAAACTGTTTTGGCCAGCATGTAAAATCCCTGGAAATCGTCTATTCCAGCAAGGCCTCGTGAACAGGGAAAGCACCAAATGTTCTACTCAAGAAATGAAGCTAAGGGACAAACAAGCTAGACGAAAGGGAGAGATCAATAAGAAGACGCTGTAAGAGGAAGTTCAAGAGGGGGCAATTCAGAAATGAGGCACATGCTCCGACTAGTTTGAAAGGGTGAGTTAACTAAAAACACTGAGAACCTTTTCAAAGCACCAACAAAAAAATACCCCATTTGCAGCTGGTCTCTCCAGGTGACTTTTGTTCAACTCAAAAAACAAACTTAGTAAGACAGAAAGGACTTATGAAATTTCCTGGTAAACAATAGCCTGATGGTGATTGCAGCCATAAAATTCAAAGACGCTTACTCCTTGGAAGAAAAGTTACGACCAACCTAGACAGAATATTAAAAAGCAGAGANCTCATCAGGTGGCCAAGGAATTGGAGTTTCAGCTTCAGCATCAGTTCTTCCAATGAACATTCAGGACTGATTTCCTTTAGGATGGACTGGTTGGATCTCCTTGCAGTCCAAGGGACTCTCAAGAGTTCACCACAGTTCAAAAGCATCAATTCTTTGGCTCTCAGCTTTCTTTATAGTCCAACTCTCACATCCATAGGTGACTACTGGAAAAACCAAAGCTTCAACTAAGTGGACCTTTGTTGACAAAGTAATGTCTCTGCTTTTTAATATGCTGTCTAGGTTGGTCATAACTTTTCTTCCAAGGAGTAAGCGTCTTTTAATTTCATGGCTGCAGTCACCATCTGCAGTGATTTTGGAGCTGAAAAGGATAAAAGCCTGTAACTGTTTCCATTGTTTCCCTATCTATTTGCCATGAAGTGATGGGAAACTATTTACTTTTAAATAATCAGCTAGACCCCTCTTTTGTAGATAGTTTTGGTTGTTTGGGTGGAGCTCAGAAACTTGCATATTTAAGTAGTGCTCCAGCTGATTCTTCTTTAATTTTTGTATATTTGGGAGGATGCTGTTTTGTTGCCCTGTGCCAGAATTTTCAAATCAAACAGTTCTCTGCCAAAGTAAGCAGAATACCTAGAACATAACTGAACGTTTTCTTTACAGTTTAAAGTTTTTCAGTTCAGTTCAGTCGCTCAGTCGTGACTCTTTGTGACCCCATGGACTGCAGCATGCCAGGCTTCCCTGTCCCTCACCAACTCCTGGAGCCTACTCAAACTCATGTCCATCGCATCGGTGATGCCATCCAATCATCTCATCCTCTGTTGTCCCCTTCTCCTCCCGCCTTCCATCTTTTAAGGTTATTGCTGTAAGCAATTAATGTATTAGAGATATAAGTAGTTTCAGACACTGGTTCCAGGACCATTGGAATTGACTTTCTTGAGTAGACAGATCAGTAAAAATTTCACAGCTACCAGTTACAGACCATTTTTGGGGCTAAGTATTTTCCATTTAGGATTTCATTTAATCCTTACA